TTCGAAAATCATATTTCATATGTTACAAGAACGGCCTTTTTCCATCTTAGAAACATTGCTAAATTACGTAACATGCTATCTGTTTCCGATGCAGAAAAGTTAGTTCATGCATTCATGACCTCGAGACTAGATTACTGTAATGCTTTATTAGCCGGTTGTCCTGCATCCTCAATAAACAAGCTACAGTTAGTGCAAAATGCAGCCGCTAGAGTTCTTACTAGGTCCAGAAAATATGATCATATAACACCGATTCTATCATCTCTGCACTGGTTACCTATCAAGTTCCGTATCAATTACAAAGTACTATTACTGACCTATAAAGCCCTAAATGGTTTAGCTCCTGTGTATTTAATGGACCTTATATCGCCCTACAATCCATCGCGTTCTTTAAGATCACTAAATTCGAGGCTTCTAGTCATTCCTAGGATATCTAAGTCCACTAAAGGAGGGAGGGCGTTCTCACATTTAGCTCCTAAACTCTGGAATAGCCTTCCTGATATTGTTCGAGGCTCTGACTCGCTGTCCCAGTTTAAAACTAGATAAAGACGCATCTTTTTAGCCAAGCATTTACATAATGCTTACCTTTTATTATACTGCTGAATCAGATCAAATGCATTTAATACTATAAAACTTGAAGAGACTGTAGGTTATCTGTATAGGTTGCATAGTATTTGCAGTCATTACGTTCCTGTGTATATTGCGTGAATGACGGGTGGTTGGGCAGATATTGTGTTGCGGTAGGTAGTATGCCATACGGAACCGTTGTCCACTGAAACTGCCTATTCACGCACCAGTGGGGCTCGACAGCCTTAGTCAACGGGTTGGCGCGTATGGTTGGGTTGGGTTGCGGAGAGATTGTGAGATTGTGGTTAGGTCTCAGCAGCAGGAGGGACGTAGAGGTCAGTAAGCTGGGCTGAGTTGAGTGGGGGACGGAGGGGGGTGATTTTGGGACGCAAGAGTCACTGTCTTCATGTTTTGTCTTTTACGCCTGTGTTATGGAAATCATCATTATGAACAGCAGCTACGCTAATTATTTTCCCTTTGCTTTTCTGCTGTTATCTCGGGACGCGAGTCCCGAGAAAATGGCGTTCGTCAGCTCCAGTTTGTATCCAGCCTCTCACGGAGACTTCAGATGCTCCAATCACAAAGCCTATGAAGTGACGACTCAACACGGGCGATATGGACTCTCTATGGTGGACGGCACTGATCCTCAACAACTCGTCTTAAGACCGGCGTGCATACTTGGACTTCCAAAAAATACTCTAAATGTTCCGATCCAATCTGACTTGTAATGCTGCCCGAATCATGCACTGTTCTTCCGTTGGCCAGAGGAGAACTGGCCCCCTGACTGAGTCTGGTTTCTCCCAAGGTTTTTTTCTCCATTCTGTCACCTGATGGAGTTTTGGTTCCTTGCCACTGTTGCCTTGGATTTTGGCTTGCTTAGTTGGGGACATTTAACATTTAATATTCAATAATATTATTGATCTGCCTTACTTAAGGTGGACGTTGACACAATTTCTTTTAGAAACAAACTTTGTTATATTGTTATATTGTTTTTGTTATATTGTTTTCATGTTATCACTGTGAAGCGCTTTGATACAATCTGTATTGTAAAAAGCGCTATATAAATAAAGGTGACTTGACTTGACTTGACTTACATACATGTCGTACCCAAGTTTATTAGATCCAGTGTGATTTGTAATGATCTTATAGGATTGCTGAAATCGCTCAGTCTGTAGCAGGCATTAGGTGCATGTCTGACATCAACAGAATCACAAGTCTGATTACCAAAGGTACCAAACAATCTCAAAGGTATCCACTGCACACACAAAGAAGCTTAAAGGAGAACTCCGGCGTATAACGCTAGTAATGGGGACATTTAATAAGTAAAAAGAAATCGCTAGTTAATACCACTAACAAGACTCAAAATAGCCCCACACAGTAACATAATGAGGGTCCCTACATGCAAAACGAAGCATTGAGAACTTTGTAAGTGTACAGACCTTTTAATAAGAAGATAAAGATAAAGACAGTCCACTTCGTGTATACAGACAGGAGCCATCTTTGGAAAACAGTCTCGACTAATCAAACCACGAACGCCATTCATACAGTTCAGAAGTTCACTGAACTTCATACAGTTCAGCTCACTTAGCACGTCGTTCGTGGTTTGATTAGTTGAGACTGTTTTCCAAAGATGGCTCCTGTCTGTATACACGAAGTGGACTGTCTTTATCTTTATCTTCTTATTAAACGGTCTGTACACTTACAAAGTTCACAATGCTTCGTTTTGCATGTAGGGACCCTCATTATGTTACTGTGTGGGGCTATTTTGAGTCTTGTTAGTGGTATTAACTAGCGATTTCTTTTTACTTATTAAATGCCCCCATTACTAGCGTTATACGCTAAACAGTTTTTAGAGATAAAACTCTTTACATTCGATTATCATGAAAACAAATCTCAGAGAACGGTTGACTAGGTACCAATGTTTTATTAGACCAAAGGTTCATTTTGCGCCGGAGTTCCCCTTTAATTAACAGTGAATCCAAAGATTTTTTCTAGCTTCTACATTAAGAAGTCATCATGTTATCAGTTCAAATTCCTTCGGTATTATCGCCTACCATAACCATTTGGACACATGGTGACTATCACTTCTACTGTAAAAGCAATTGAGCTATAGGGCCTAATACGTGTCAAATCGGTCTTGTTAAATTAATGTGGCAGGAATATTAACACAATAACTAATACTAGAGTTAAGAATTATACTGGACTACAGGAAATCAATCAGACTTTGAATAATTGTAATTAATATGCCATTTTTGGTCTGGCCATGTTTAAATGGATGTTAATATGGAAGACACACTTTTTCACAGTTTGTGCAATAAAACAGTCCAAGTTCAGCAAATATAGTCACAAATCAAAACCTGCTGACAGTAAACTTGCACAAGCAATGATAAGATAACAGGTTTTTCTCCATTATTAGTCATAGTTATAGTGATGACAAACACACGTGATTAGTCAAACAAGGGCCGGTTGCATAAAACGCTTAGCCTGGTCTTAGACTGGTCATAACTTTTTAAAGTCAGTTACATGAAAAGGTAGATTGGTCTAATTTGAATCTGAAACGTAAGAGTGATAACTAACTGCTAGTTGGTCAGACTAGTTCTTTAAGGGATAGTCATTAATTACTCACCCTCATGTCGTTCCAAACCGGTAAGACTTTTGTTTATCTTCCGGACACTAAATAAGATCAATGTTCTGACGTATTACCTGGAATCGCTGATCTGTGTTTATTACGTGAACAGGGTAGCAGACTGAGATTGAAGAGAAGAGATTGTCGAATAAAGTGGGGGGTTTTTGCACACAAAAAGTGCTCTCGCCGCTTTATAACATTAAGGTTGAACCACTGGAGTCACATGGACTATTTTAATGATGTCTTTACTACCTTTCTGGGCCTTGATAGTGGTTATAAAAGGTCAGAAAAGCTCTCGGATTTCATCAAAAATATCTTAATTTGTGTTCCGAAGATGGACGAAGGTCTTACGGGTTTGGAATGACATGGGGCCAAGTAAATAATGACCAAATTTTCATTTTTGGGTGAACTAATCCGTTATGACACAGTCTTAACTTAGCAGCTATGTTTATGCAATTGGCCCAGCGCTAGCTTCAAAATGTTAAATACCAGCTAAGTATTTTAGGCAAGGCTTCAGGACCAAAGTACAAATGTCTGCTTAAACATACTTTCCCAGAGTTCCTGTATTAATCACAGTTAGGCTACTAAGATATTGATTACAATAACCTCATGGCTTGCTACTAATGACATCTTTAACTATTGATTATAGGTGGATTCCTGTTATGTACTTGATGTGGTTACCTGGATTGATTTATAAGGATTTTTAAATAGTCTAATTGTTTAATTTTTTTGAACGTGGGATCCTCTGTTGTTGTGTTTAGTGTAAAAATATATCTTGTGTTTCATCTAAATTATTGGTGGATGCCATTAATATGGTTAAAAAGATTATACTGAATGTGGATAAATGTTGTTAAAAATACAATCTTGATGACGTCAATATAATTAATTGTTTAAATAGTGGGTGGAGGATTAGATTATCTAACATACCGAAGAAGGCCTGCGAGCCGAAACGTGTTATTCCTCTGTGAATAATGTAAAAAAAAAAAAAAAAAAAAAAAAATCTGAGTGAGGATCAGAGCTGTATTTTGAAGTAAACTGTTCAAAAACTGTAAAAATTCAACTAAACGAAAATTAGAAATGTTTCCTTGGCAAGTAACAGAAATAAGTTTAAGTTCAAGCACTAAAATTACTAATTTGAAATAAATAAATACTAAAACTTTAACTGAAATAAAAATAAATTAAAGCTAAATAGTGATAGAATCAACAACATGAATAAAACAAAATGACAAATGTACATAAAAATTACTACAAAATGACTAAAAAAAAGGTTTTATTAAAATGAAAAATGAAAAATATTAAAACAAAAGAAAATTCTGTTATTAATAAAACCTATAATTGTATATAAAAAATAAAAAAACACTAAAATAACACTGCTCTATATGACCAGTGTTTGGAGGGGCAGGATCATTTTCAGGAATGACATCATGCACTGATGACTTTATTAAGAAAGGTCAATTATGATTTCATGTCGACTTCATGAGCTTCAGGAAAGCAACCTCCCAAAAAATGTGTGTGGAAGAAAGAGAGAGAATACCAGAGAAGAAAGAATGCCAACAACTGACCTTGACAGTCAGTGGAGGAGAGAAAGGCCCATGGGGAGAGAGGAGGATGCATGTTTTCCAACCTGATAAGAGCGGGACTAATTAATTAAAAATAGATAGAGACCTTTTCCACAAACTATCTGAAAGTGACATCACTGCTGATACACGTCCCTCCTTGCTACACCTGATGAAAACCTCCCTGATAGTGACAATGAGAATTACTGCAGGATTAAAAAAACAGTGTGTGTCACTGACAAAAATTGACCAACCTTTTTTAAACTCCTCCAACATGGAATCCAACTTGGTGTCGTGAAACACAAAATGGACCGGATGGTTGTAGAACTTAGTAATGGTCTTCAACGTAGTGCAGTCATCTGGATCCACAAACGCCAGGTCTTTCACAAATAGGATGTCCACGATATTGGTCCGTTCATCCTCATAAACGGGAATGCGTGTGTATCCGCTCTCCATGATCTCCGACATGGTGTTGAAGTCCAGGACAGTGTCGCTGTTGATCATGAAGCAGTGGCTGAGAGGAGTCATGATGTCCTCCACTGTCTTAGTCCTCAACTCCAGAGCTCCCTGGATCATGTTCATCTCCTCTTTCACCAGGTCATTGTACGGTTCGGTCACCTTAAGCATCCCCACCAGCTTCTCTCGGTTGTACACGGTGCCGATCTCCTGGCCTAGCACGCAATCCAGGAGTTTGCTGATGGGGAAGGACAGTGGAAAGGTCAGAAGCATGAAGAACTTGGTGATGTGGATGGTGTTGGCACCCACCGCCAAGCCGTGGCGAGAGCAGAGCGCCTGAGGAACGATCTCGCCGAAGATGACTATACCGATGGTTGACGCCACCACAGCCCCCAGACCTGAGCCGATGAGATCATCGAGCAGGATGGTCAGCGTGGTGTTGACCAGCACGTTCCCGAGGAGAAGAGAGCACAGCAGGTAGTTTCCTTTCCTCCGTATGGGCTCGATCTTGCGAGCGTACTTCTTCTCTTTATCAGTGCCACAACTCTGCACAATCCGCAGCTCCATGGGGTCCAAAGCCATGAGCCCCAGGTTTAGACCACTGAACATCCCTGAGAGCACCAGGAGGCAGGCTATCAAGATTATCTGGAACCAAATGGGAAGCAGCGACTTCTTCATCTCCACCACACGCAACCTTCCATCATCTTCTTCCAGCAGGTACCACTTCCCATCTTGGCTGTGTCTGATGCACAGCGCATATTCCCTCTGGGACTCACTTTTCCTAAGTGCTTTAATTTGGACCCCCAGCACCCCAGAGGTGCCCTGGCTGTTGACATTCATACTTTTACTGATGGAGATGTCTTTGGTGAAGTCAACACAAGTAGTGTTGATGTCAGAGCTTCTGCCCTCGCTCTGATCCACGAACTTAATCTGCTCCCAGGTGTCATTGCTGATCTGCAGTCCGTAGAACCTGAGCTGGATGTCGCTGTCCTCGGATACCTGTATGATCCCATCATCGGTGGTCGTGGCAGGCTTGACGCTCCTCTCCAACCGCATGCCGAGGATCCGGCTGTCGCTCCCCCAGGATTCCGCTCTATTCGCACAGACTCTACTCCAAAAGAACAGCATTAAAGTTAGCGTGTACCCTTTCCAACTGCATTCTGTCGCCATGTTTGTTTCACTCTGCGGAATGAGAGTTGACGTCACCTATTCATTTCAAACGACCACGCCCCTTCATTAACATATCGTCCGCGGAACTCCAATCAGCGAGTGGTTCGTCACCTTATGAGGAAGAACGAGCCTTCTTGGGTTTGGTTGTTAAGGAAGACCGGTTTTTCTGTGCTATTAAGGTGGAACGGTTTGTTTTACTGTCCCAAACTCTCATTACGTCTGAAAATATGAGATAATACCGTCTATAAAAAATAGCCGTTTTTTACGGAAAAGATTACTTGCATAGACCAAGGAGGCATTAAACTGATCAAAGCAACAGTAACATATTTATAATGTTACAAAAGACTTCCGTTTCAAATAATTGCTGTGCTTTTGAACTTTAAGTGAACTGTTTCAACATTGATAATAATAAGAAATGTTTCTTGAGCACCAAATCAACACATTGATTTCTGAAGGATATGTGAATTCAGGTTTGGTATCACGGGGGGGAAAAATGATTTTAAAATAGATTAAAATAGTAATTGCAATAATGTTTCACAATATTACTGTTTTTACTGTACAGCCTTAATGAACATAAGAGACTTCTTTCTTACGACTCCAAACGTTTGAACGTTGGTGTATACTACAGTAATTAACGTAATTTAAAATATACGTTAGGAATATAATATTTTCATTACACTACACTAATGAATGTCACAATACAAAATATCTTTATTGTTTTAATAATCGTCGGATTTAAACGCATATATGAACTTTATTTCAAATATTTTTAAATGAATTAATTTATATGATATATTATTTATGAGTATAAATATTTGTAAATGTGAAGGTGTGTGTAGGTATGTTTTTTAATGCTTTGGAATTGGAAACGTAATGAATCTTCAAACTGTGGCAATAAAGCCATTCTGCATCCTTAGATTCACGTTTTTACGGCGCCATCTAATGGACAGAGATGTAACTGGCTTGATTAAAATGGATCAAGCAGCTTCACCAACAGATGGAGCCATCAGACCGGGTACAAATGAACACCACTGCAACTATATCACACATTTTGATATTAAAGGGATAGTTTATGGGCCCCATTGATTTCCATAGTATTTTTTTTTTTTCAACTAGGAAGTCATTGGGTGCCGTCAACTTTAAAATATCTTCTTTTGTGTTCAATAGAAGAACGAAACTGGTACTCGGCCTAACTATCCCTTTAACAGGGATTAAAATACTCACTTTGCATGAATGTAAACTAACCTCTCTTTACAGGAATCAATCTTGACATTAACCAAGCTTTAAGTAAATGTTCTTTATTCCAAATAATTTTAATTAGATTTAGTCTGTACATGGGAACTGGTTATGTTGGACACTCCTTTAAAAGTATGCATAAATAAAGGTCAGAAAGAAAAGAAAAAATTATGTTTGCTATTGTATTGTATATATTTTAGGGCTGGGAAAAAATTAATCGTGATTAATCGCATCCAAAATAAAAGTTTTGTTTACATAATATATGTGTGTGTAGTGTGTGTAATTATTTTGTATATATAAATACACACACATGCATGTATATATTTAAGAAATATTTGCATGTATATACTGTATATATATTTATACATCATTTATATTATATATAAATATACATATTTTTTATATTAATAACACATTTTTCTTACATATATACATGCATGTGTGTGTATTTATAGATACAAAATAATTATACACACTACACACGCATATTTTATGTAAACAAAACTTTTATTTTGGATGCGATTAATCACGATTAATTTTTTCCCAGCCCTAATATATTTATTTAGTAAATGAATCAAAAATCTATACAATATCACTCATAAATTTCATCAATATTAAAAGGACATGCAAATCGAACAAAATAAAATGTGGTCATCATAGAAAGACATGGACAAAACAGATGCATGTTGCTGGATTCAAATACGGACACGTTACTGTAAACACAAGAACCTGAGGTAAAACTCATTACTAACCAAAAGTTTACAACATTAATTAGAATTAAAGGCAATCATAAGTTAAATTATAATAAAAAAAGATTAAAAAACAGCAACATCATACTCTGAATCAAGCCAAATGCTCTTTGTAAACAATATATTTCAAAAGGATTCCAGATTGTGCGTCAATAACATAAACAAAAGTATATAATAATTTAACCTCTTAATAAATTCTGAGAAAAAAAAGTGTGCAGACTCATTATCTAAACTAATTAATTATCAAAAGGAATTCATTTAAAGAGCTAAAATACCAACAAGGCAATGATAAAGAGGGCAGAGAAGGGCAAGCTCAAATAATGTGTACCAAGACAGTTGCAGTCTAGTAATTTGCAGCACAGTTATTACACTTAATAAACCACAGTTCAATGATAAGTTCAACGATAACACTTGGTTAATATATGGCAAATCAACTTGATAACAGCTGCATCTTAGAGAAACAAATGTAAAGAATAACACTGGCATTGAAGTCAGGATCCAGATACGTTGATGGACGATCACTAGAGCTCAAATTTCATCCCACCATTTTAATGCCGTGATTGGTCAGTTCAATTACATACTCTCCTCTTCCCATGAGTAGCTTCATTATTGTAATTTCCTTTATTAACTACAGCAGATATACTGTATTCAGAGCAATAGTTTCTAAACAGTTTTACAATCTCAATTTACTGGCGTGGCGGCTTGCTTGCTGCAATCATTTCTAACGCTCTGATTGGTTGACCTGACTAGGTAGGAGGACCTCCACTGTGAAGCTGACTGTTTTGGACTGAAAGACGCTGTACGTGTTGTCAAATCGCAGTACATCTGAGAAAATGAAGACAGTACAGTAAATTCATGTGCATGTTTAATGTTTATCTCAGTTACTTAATAGTAACTCTGTACTTACACACTCCTGGTTCTGGGCAGGTGAGCGATCCGTCCTCTGGAACAAGGTGAGCGTTGTAACGTTGATTCGGCACAATTTCCTTCATATCACTGGCCTTCATCCAATCTCCTATCTTCTTCTTCAAATAGACACCAAAACCTACATCGGCACCATCACACGAGAACTGCCATCTGAGGAAGAGAGCATTGAATCAAGTAGAGTATCATACATGGACTCCGGACAAGTTGTTTACAATTTCTGGTTGTTTTCCTCTAGTTTTTAGGACTAATAATAACATCTGGCAAAGCTATTAATGAAAACCAACCTTCGGCTAATTTGGGTACATTTACATTCATGAATGTTGATTAATGTACACTGTCCCTTTTTGAATTTAAATAAACAAATAAAATGTTACATTTGAAAGTAACTTAATGAAGATTGTCAATTAGATCATTACACCAGTAGGTGGGGACAAGTGACTTAAAATAATTTATTTGTCATGAATCATTTATTCAAGAGATTTGTTCAAAAATGCTGAAACAAGTGAAACAAAAATGATCAATTCAAATTCATTTAATAATTTTTAAATAGTGCAGCGATTCAAATTTTGTTAGAACATCTTGTAAATTATGTTATTTTGCTTAATTGTGGGAGAATCACAATCTCTATTTTAAATAAAAAGATTCTCAATTTATCCAGAATCGTGCAGCTCTATTGCTCAAAAGCTTGGGGTCAGTATGATTTTTTTTTTTTTTTTAAATTAATAGTTTTATTCAGCAAGAACGCATTAAATCGATAAAAAGTGACAGTAAAGACGTATAATTTTACAAAAGATTTCTATTTTAAATAAATGAAATGATGAACTTCCTAATCATCAAACTGTTCTATAACTGTATAATGGTTTCCACAAAATTATTAAGCAGCACAACTGTTTTCAACTGATAATAATAAGTATATAATCAGCATATTAGAATGATTTCTGAAGGATCATGTGAATCATCTGAAGACTGGAGTAATGATGCTGAAAATTCAGTTTTGATCACAAGAATAAGTTACATTTCTTTTCTTTTTTATTTAATTAAAATATTATTTCAAAATATTACCGTTTTTACTGTATTTTCAATCAAATAAAAGCAGCCTTGGTGAGCATGAGTGACTTATTTCAAAAAGTGTACTGTATATAAAACACAAAACTAGTGCACTATTCTAGTTCAAGGTCCAATTTAGTGGTAATAAGCACATGCATGTGCATGTTGAATCCAGCAAGTTGCTGAAAGTATTTTTTAAATGTTTTGTTCACTAAATTAGACCACACCCTAACATCCAACCCTCACCCTTTCAAAGACATGCCAACAAACCCAATATCAGTAAACCAAATGCACGTCTCATATGCAGATAATGTTGCTGGTTAGCTAGTTTGGCTTAAAAAGTTTGGTAGTCTCATAAAAATAAAAATAAAGAGTATCAAGTGCTAAAAAAAAGTATACAGAACTTCACAAAGACACATATTTCACTAATGTCTCTTTTATGCATGATTTTCTAAAAATAAATAGTTTACAGCATCTTTAATGTCTTGATCTGGTGGTTTTAAACTCCAAATTTAGTAGGAGTATCAGAAAGTGTTTTTTGCTCACCTTAATGCACAGTTTGGGGCAAGTAGCTCATATTCCACCTGATGAGATGAGCCACGGCCAATAGTCACACACTGATCATAGTCCACTTTAATGGAGTCTCGAACATAGTAGGTCCTGGGAATCTCTGATCCAAACGTAATCTGAAAAAACAAAAACAAACATTTGCTTAACATATGCTTGGTTGAGATGAGTTGGTAATAATTAATCAGAATTGAAAATGGAAAAACAAAGAAGGATGAAACTTACAGAAGCATCATGAGTGCAAAAGATAAAAGCTTCATATTTAAATGTTAGTATTTTATGAACGATGAGGAAACAGAAAGAAAAAACCAGACAGGAAAGCAGCCCAAATCAAAGTGGCTTTTAATAAGGAACACAAATTGCCTTTACATTCACTGTGTGAGACTTATTATCCTACATATAGGTTGAGTAGTCTACTCTGAAACCTGAGGAGAAAAATGTTGTCTATAATTTATTTTATTGTATTTTTTACTGAAATTTGAGCTCAAATTTCAGTAAACTACAGAAACAAGAGACTAGATTGTCAATGAATACAATAAGACAATAAACAGCATAACATGACAAAAACATCCGACACTTCATAAATAAATAAAAAGGTTAAGGTCATGTTGTCTGGAGTCGCAGACCCAAATATAGATGATGGTTGAGAAAAGGAGTCACTCCAAATGATTCACTACTATTTTGATACACAGAAAAAAAAAAGCACATTTAGACACTCACAATCACTAACAATAGTATTAGATCACTCAACATATACATTTAATCCCAATTCACATTCTTTACATCTTATCGTATGCAAGATTAGTGAATCCCAAATAATACTGTATACAAACGGTTTATGGATACTATTCGATTTCCATAAAAATGTAGTATACACTTCTGTTCAAACATTTGAAGTCAGTAATTTTTTTTAATTCATACTTTTATCCAGCAATGATGCATTCAATTGATCAAACGTGACAGTTTAAATATTAAGCAGACAAACGGGTTTCAACATTGATAATAATAAGACATGTTTCTTGAGCAGCAAATCATCATATTAGAATGATTTCTGAAGGATCACGTGACACTAAGACTGGAGTAATGATGCTGAAAATTCAGCTTTGACATCACAGGAATACATTACATTTTAAAGTATATTAAAATAGAAAACAGTTATTTTAAATTATAATATTTTGAGTATTTTCTATATTTTGGATCAAAATAAATGCAGCCTTGGTGAGCATAAGACAATTTTATCATATTTTTACATACTCAAAAGTACATATTTGTAATGTGAATGTGGGATTTAGGAAGTATGTGAAATGGGATTTAGCCACAATCTTATTACTCACTCCATAAACCATCTTTATGAGAAGACATTCCAATGGAAGTCTGTTTTGTGATTTGCTTAAAGGGATACTCCACCCCAAAAAAAACAAAAAAAAAAATACTATGGAAGTCAATGGTGCCAAAGGTCCAATCGTTCTACAAAATATCTTCCTTTGTGTTCAGCAGAAGAAAGAAACTCATACAGGTTTGCAACAACTTGAGGGTGAGTAAATGATGACAGAATTTTCATTTTTGGGTGGAGTATCCCTTTAAGTTTCAACATGTCATTCAAACATGACCCCATCTTTGCTTATTAGTACAAACACATCTTAAGTTGCATCCCCTTTAGTGATTTTCCCATGAAGGAAGTGCTCTAGTTTTCTTTAAGGTTTATTACACGTTTAATAGGCGAGGAAATTGCCGTCCACGTCACACCAGAGGGAAAACAAGCACTCTAACTCTCTTTAAGACAAAATAAACAACTACTATTTTCAGCTCTCTAGCATTAAACACAGAAAACAAACATTTATTTGACTTGTGCGATATCACAGTCCAACAAAAGACTCCAAGGATTGCAGTTAATAAATATTTTTGTAACTAAATATCAGTCCACTTTGAGTTTTCACAAAGTCTTCTGAGGTCTTTTTAGCACTTCCAATCCTGCAGGGGGCAGCAGCTTTACCTGTGTATCTACACACAGAGACAAAATGTCTCATTTCAGAACTCTGAATGTGATTCTGCATGTTCATCATGAAATCAAAATGGAACATTCCTACTTTTTTAGGGAATATTGCAGTGTTTTTATAATAAATGATTTATCCGTGCCCATCATTATTATTTTAATTAATGTGCCCTTTCATCAAAATAACTTCCTCTTGCAGCAACATCTCCTCTGTTCACTGATGACGTGTTTACTGGCGCCCTACATTTTTTCTTGATACTTTTTTTTACTTTTTCGGAATTGTATATGGTTATTTTTGGCACTTGCTATATGAACACACGATCTTGAAAAGAATGGGAAATGTGTGAAAAAAGTAGTAGTCTTTGAAAATGTCTAAATATATAACCAAATGCAAAACCTAACAAAAGTAATTATTTCTGAAAATATAATTATAAGCAACTATTTTCTTTATAATGTAGAGGTGAATATTATCTACACTGAAAAAAGTGTTTCTACTTTTTTCATTTCCCGTTTAATAGTGTTACTTGCCGCTTTTGTTACTGAAATAGCCTGAGTGAAAACTTTTTTTCAGTGAAATGAAATCTCTTCAAAATACAAAATATTAAAGAATAAATATTCCTGAAATAAAACATAGTACATAAATTTCAATAAAAGTATTCAATATAATTACGATTAACATTTTCCTGTGACCCCTTAGTGAGGAATACCAGAGGGTTAAATACGTGTTGTCCGTTTGACGGGGTGCTTTTCAAGTGACCGTCCTCCTGTCATAACAGCCCTTTGCTCTTCACATTTAGGATTTATCACAAACAGAATCATAACCACAACGCTAAGACAGATTGAAGGGGAAGATTAGTCATGTCATGTGTTCCAAAGCTTCAACCTTGCCAACTGATCAACAGAGTAATCAGCCTATGCAATAACCATAGAAGCAATCCAACGGGCTCTCATCCAGATTACACCACAGCGTATCATAATGAAGTTTAAATGTTGTGCAAGAGGAAAATTAAAGATAATGTGATATAACGATATATATTTGACCGTTATTCCACCCCTCTGTTGCTTTGAGACATTGACACTATTGGGCTCTAAGAATGCATCTATAAGAAGATTGTGAGAGGCAACAGGCTGTATTTCTTGGTATTGCTAAATGATGTGGGTATACTGGTATTAGGATAAGCAGGAAGCAGTGTTTCCCCTAGGATTTTGTCTCGGGGTGAGGGGGGACTGCTAGTGTTGCGGAGCGGGCGTGTTACGGATACGTGGTGTAATTTTTTTATTTTTATGCATTGAAATCATGTATTATGAATCATTAAACTTATACAACATTTCTTTTTTAAAATATATGGAAAAAAATTCACACTAATTCTATGTTGTGTTTTTTCTGGTAATAAAATGAAGACATAAAACACAAATTTGAACAATTATCATCAATTTTAATCACATGAAATTAAATAAACTTTTTGTCAAATAACTTGTTGGACAATGAGCTTTAGCCTACTGTTAAAATTAAAACATGGATTATTCCTTAAAAATGTCAGTTTTGATGATAATTTATTTGGATTAGTGTTAGTGTATTATTACATTGGAACATATCTAAATTCTAATGTACAACAGTAATATATTTCTACCAAGTTAAACCGAACTTTTATTTTGACGGGTTGCCGTGAAGACCTTTTGAGTTTCTGTGTGTTTATGTCATGATGATAATTTTTCTCAAATGAAGCGGTGAAATGATCACGAAGTGACTTTCAGAGTGGATCTAGAGCCTGAAGAGGAAGTTCATGCATTTGTGTCTTCATAGGCCAAAAAACAGCGCAAGCGTCACACGTGCTTCAGTGTGTGTGTGTGTGTGTGTGTGTGTGTGTGTGTGGTAAATGAAACTGCGCGTCGGCAGCTCCATTCATTCACACAGAACATGCAGGATTCGTATTTAAATAGTCTTTGTGTTTTAATATTCACACACTATAGTCTACATCGCGATTTGATTTCAAGTGTACTGAACTGCTTTCTATTTTTTCCTCAAATTGACAAATTCCGTGAAATTCCGCGTTATACACTAAATTCCTTTTTTATGACTGGATTTCGTCAGCATTTTAGGGGGTCGCCCCCCCAAAACAATGGTAGGGGAAACACTGGGAAGCTCTTCTAGGTTTGAAGTGAACTAAATAGGCGAAATGCAAATATAAAATGTTGAACTGAGTGACCAGGTGGACTGAAAATTTTCTGCCATTGTTTCATAACAATAAACTGAAAAGGAAATGATCTCAAGACAAATACTGATGCCTGAATATAGCACTGTTGGAAGTTATACTAGGAAATAATACATCTTATACATTAATTTCATACCAAACATACACTCCAAAACAATAAGTGATGACCATAAAAGGTTAAAATTATGAAGCATGTTTCTTTCTATGCTGCTAGATTGTCAGGAAACAAACAGTATACAAACAGCCCAAAATGAACTTTTCCCAGCACTCTTGACAATAGCACATGAGAAGGCTATGAAACTAATTATTTTCTAAGAAAAAAAATTGAATTGTTAAGCTATTTTCCCTAATGCAGGAGTTAATGATGTCTCACATAGCATCATATACAAGCCAGAAAAACTCTGTGATGCCAACTGTCATAAAACTATGACCTTGCTCTTGTTCCTTATATTTAAATTTTGGTGGTTTAACAGAAATACTAACTGAAAAATAATCTTAACTTAAGTAAAGTATCAGACACTCTGGCAAGAGAGAAAGTCGGCTTTGTACAGCTAGACCTCAAGGTTCGTCAAATGGGAACTGTTGTCTGATTCTATGTGGGTTTCGCAACTTCCCTAATATCTCAAGTGTCATTCTATTTAAAAAGAGAACTGAAAGAAGAAATCTGGGACAGCTGCAACTCAACAATACCTCGTTAGCAAGTCAATGTCACATGGCCAACACTAGAATGACGAGTGTCGGGCGTCTCTAACTCACCATGGTCTTACATTTAGGGTCACCATCAGGGTCGGTGAGTTTGCCCCCATAGTACGCTGGGAGCTCCTCAGGGTCGATGTATTTCTGTAACAACTCCTTCCAGTTTGCTGAGGAGACAGACACAGAAGCTTGATGAGGAAATGGATTTGTGAGTAAACATCTGGATGACAGCTGTGGATCGTAAAGGCCCCGATTTACAGTCTTTTTCGTTCTTTGCTTAGGGGTAAAAAGAAGTTTGAAACACATGACCAGCAGTATACTGTTAAGAAACATCCCGATGCCGCTCTGTGAATATGTAAATAAATATGTAAATATGAGTATATAAATATGAATATGTAAATATGTGCTGCACGCTTTCCTCTCAATAACAAGATAAACCCACAACAAAAATAACAGCGGTGAGGAAACAGCAGTTAAGAAAGCATCTGATCATAGTGATGTGGATATGTTCGCACCAGTTCTGTAATTCAGCACTTCAGTCAAGTCACGTTTATTCATATATCAAGAAAGTTGACTGGCAAGCCGTTTCAAACTCGCCTAATTTTGTTCGAAATGACGAAACACCGGTTCGTTTGATTTCACTTGAAGTATATCGAGGCCTTAACAACATTTTTGTATCAACATCTATGTATCGTATTAACAACATCTAATGTATAATTCCTCAACCAAAGGTATTTGAGAAGCTTTCCACCTGAATACATGATTTAAATACAACTGAATTATTCAAAATAACTGCCAGATCAAGGTGAGATTTTCTCTGAGCAAGTGTTATGAAAGCAATAGCAACAGATGAATTGTATAGAAAAACATTAGTGTAGTAAGATACATGTTAGCTTACACCCCAGTACGATGACCTTACGGCGAGTGTCCTCACTCAAAAAATGTTTCACCAGATTGTAAGCCACAGGAAACAGTTTGGGAGCTGCAACAGAAACAGTCCAGAGATTCAGATATTAAAAGTGGTGCATCACAGTGGCACGATACAATAATGTATTGCTTACTTAGGGCCCGATGAAATACGTTTTATTTTTCTTAAATTCCATTTTCTTTTTTCCCAAATTTCATCTTTTATAATGTTTCTGGGATTCCGTTTTAAGGGTTTAATTAAAATTTTAGTCATCCAAAATATTGTCTAATCAATTGAATTCATTCAAATAAAATTTTTGATTTATAATATAATATGAAATGCGTTTTATTTGTCTATTTAAATGGTAAAACTTTACAATATATCTAAATCTCAGCATTTACTAATATATTTTTAAGATCAAAAGTTCAACATCAATTAATGTTCTGTGAACTAACATGAACCTGATTTTTTTTTTTTTACTAAAATTAACAAAGGTTAATAAATGCTGTAGAAATATATTGCTCATTGATAGTTCTTGTTAGTTAATGCAGTAACTAATGTACATAAATGAGACCTTAATGTAAAACATTACCGTTAACATTTTTCTAGATTCTGTGTTTTATGATTTAACACAAGTTTATTATCAAAAATGGTGGTTATCAAATAAATGCATAAAACTTCAACATTTAAAACAAATTTAAAAATGTAACAAAATGAAATTTGAACAATCCCCGGAACAAAGTGCTAAAAAGTTTTACTGTTTAAATTAAAACCTGGACGAACAATTGTGATATTTGATTAAGTGTACAGCCCTACTTTTGATTTATTCATTCAAATTTTGCAATATTCTGTGAAATTCTGCGTTATTGTTACTGTAAATTCATTATTTTGACTGGATTCTGTCTGTGTTTCCTGCATCACGCAAATCATAGGGCCCAGTTGCAAATCAACAAGCAAATTTGTTTAATGTAATATGCTTTATATGCCAGTTGGATGAGTTATAAAACTACTACTGACCTTTAATGACAAATAATCTCTTGAGTCCCTCTGGATAGTTATCTTCAAACATAGTGAGAACCTATAAAAAAAAAAAAAAAATGAGACCACAGCAGTCTAACGTACTTGAAAGAGCCAAGCAACATATTAATAATCGAGAAACAAATTAAAAAAACACACCTCTCCATAAGTCTCTATAGCCGGCTTATATAAGTGCTTCATTCCCAGACCGTCACAGTCATAGACCATAGTAATGGACTCAATGTTCCTACCCAACTGGGAGAAAAGAACAAGAAACAGACAGACATATAAAGCCATGATATGAGTGATTATAACCACAGGACCAGTTGTATCTTACCGACTAGCCCTTAGCCAAGGTATAATCAGTCTTTTCAGATTCCAATTAGACCAATCTACATTTTTATGTTACGACTTTAAAAGTTATGAGCAGTCTTAAGGAAAATACTGATTAACTATTTTTGTGTGAGAACGCAAAAGTTTTCTCAGTGTATCGAAATGTATACTCCAGCCTTAAAAATGAAAGATCTGTTTTTATTTCCTCACCCTCGAGGAACACAAAATGATTTTTTTTCAAGAATATTCATGCTGTTTCAAAAAGAACTGCAGAAAACTTGGAACATAGTGCACAAGACATGCACTAGATGTTTTTTGGTCTTTTTTTTTTTAGAGCTTGGCAGTTTGATCATCATTCACTTTGTGTATGGTATTTCATAAGACTTCAATATGAAGAAAGAAAATATGTATGTGAGGGTGACAGAATTATCATGTTTGGGTGAACTATTCCTTGCCAGTTTTCACAGCTGCACACCTACCCGTTCGGTCTGTAAGTCGCACTCTTTCTGCAGAATCTCGCAGTCTCTGACTTTAGACTTGATTAAGTCCTGCTTAGACGCTGAATGCATCAGACCCTTAGGGTCCATGGGTCCGACGACATCATACCACACTGGGCTCCCTTCACGGTCATGGCCACACATGCCACCAGACAGATACTTCTCTATTACCTTGAAGAAAAAAAACCATACCAATTAAAAATGAATCGTAAGATTAGGACACATCATGGAAAACAGGAGATATGTATATATACACTCAACATCAACATTGCAAAAATCCTTTCCCACTTTATGCACAATATTTACCGAAACTAAACTACACATAAGGATAATTAAGAAATGCTTAAGGTTATAATGAGCATGAGCAGGTCAGCCAATCACAATAGTGGTCAAAGGCATAGAAGTCTTAAAGGCGCAGTAGCAATAACCACCTGTTTAATTCTAGGTGACAGAAAGAAGGGGAAAAAATGCGTAAAACTATTATAACTGTTTTGATGCAACAAGTTTTGACTAATATTATAAATTGACTTCAGGGGAAAAAAATGTAACGCTAGTGGAGAATATGGCCTCTTCATGCCATCACAGGAATAAATTATATTTTAAAATATATTAAAATCACTTATTATTATTAATAAAATGTATTAAAATATACTAAAGAAAGAAAGAAATATTTTAAATTGAAATAATATTTCACAATGCTACTGTTTTTGATCAAATAAATTCAGCCTTAGTGAACATAGGAATCTTCTTTCAAAAATAATAAAATCTTCTGATCCAACACTGAAAAGTAGTGCAAATTTATTTCAACAAAACTATGAAACAGATATGTATTTTTATCATAAATCGAGGGTGTCGTACCTCTGGCACCTGCCATTCCGTAGTGATGGTGTCAACTTTCATGTATTTCCGAAATTCCACATGCTGCAGATGAAAAACAACACGTGATTAAAACCATGCATGTGTATTTGCATAATCAAATCAGGATTCAGAACCATCAACATAGCAAAGTTTGACAGCATTATCAGTTCTGCCTGAATATAATTTGCCATAATTATTATTGGTTACAGCTGTGCTTTGACCTGAGGTTCAACGGATACTGGTGACAGAGTTCAAAGATATAACATGGCGGCCAAAAATGTCTGTAATAAAAGACCCATGCATCGCTCGCACAATGGGAAAGCAAACAGCACTTTGAACACCCAATAGCACTGAATGATCATGGTGTAATCATCCATAAGCTGTGATTAGGCAACGATGTGACTCATCAGTGCAATGTAGGCTCCTGAATTAAATCCTGAAAAGCACAATTCACCTCTGCAGAGCTGCTATCTGCTTATGCTGCATGAATACTTTTGTTATGATTATGCATTCAAATAAAACCTTTTAAACTTCACGGCCTGACAAAATAAATAAATCTGATACAGAACATTGCCTATCTACCTTATTTTTAATGTAAGAGCGGCCTCTTGGCCGCGGCCGCGGCCATTTGTAAGTTGATTTTGAATGGCTTCCGGTGTCATTCGCTTCCAGTTAGTTTACCTGTACAAAAACAGCCCATTTTGCAGCTTTGATATTACAATTTGAACACTAAGCGAACCAGGACTAAATGTACAGACTGATCTCATGAAATGGCGTATGTATGACACGCCAATTCGTATTTCCATTTTTGGCGTGCTATCAACACGCATAATCGCTTTTCAGCGTGTTTATCAACGCCTTTGACTTAACGTTATATTACTGTATTATGCATATATAAATATATGACCTACCCCAACCCCGTCCCTAAACCTACCCGTCACTGGGGTTAATACCATTTATGAGTCTTCTCCTACCATCCTAGGAAAAGAAATATCGCTCCACAGATGTAGATATAGATTTTGCTTCGTTTCGCTCGGACATTTAACGGCGTAGACATACACGCGGAATCACTCGGACATTTAATGGCGTAGACATACACGCAAAAGATTTCGGCGTGGACATACACGCGGATATTTCAAAATGCGTATAGATAACACGCCACTTGAATTGAAAGTGGCGTGTATGTTTACGCAAAGTCATGATGTCATGTTGAAATGTAAGCATTTTCTTTTTGGTCCGGACCTGAAGAACCAAGGGTACTGGACTACAAGTGTGAACCCTTAGTGCAAAAAAGTACAATTTTGTAATAAAAATTGTCTAGTTTACACCTGGTATTAAAGGGAGAAAAACTGTAAATGAGGCCCAAAACGTTTACACCACATTTGGAGGACTTCAGCTTGTGACTCCTACATGACACTTTAAAAGACATTAACCAACCAATTATTATTTTTCAACAGCATGGCATCGTGAGCGATGTATATAAGTTACGAAATCAGCAATCCTCCCCTTGAAATCTGATCACAAGTGTTCCACCAGGAGCAAACGGGGCCTAATATTAGTCGGATCATATTTCATAGTGTTATTCAACATGTCGTTTGAACCTTTTGGGTAATGTACACCAACCCCTGACATAAAGCCTGGCATTGTGAGGGTCCGTCACACCCATATACATCATCACACTGGATGAATCCAGAGATGACGAATTTACAGAAATGTTCTTCTATCAGACCAATTTAAGACAGTCTGTGGCCAAAGGTTAATGAATTACACAGCGCATTATTCTGGATTGTGTAAATGTGAAGTTTAAAGGGATACTCCACTTTTTTTGGAAATAGGCTCATTTTACAACTCCCCCAGAGTTAAACTGTTGAGTTTTACCGTTTTTGAATCCATTCAGCCGATCTCCGGTTCTGGCGGTACCACTTTTAGCATAGCTTAGCATACATCATTGAAGTGGACAAGACCATTAGCATTTCTATAAAAAAAAATGACCAAAGAGTTTCGATATTTTTCCTATTTAAAACTTGACTCTTCTGTAGGTACATCGTGCACTAAGACCGACGGAAAATGTAAAGTTGCGATTTTCTAGGCTGATATGGCTAGGAACTATACTCTCATTCCTGCGTAGTAATCAAGAAACTTTACTGCCGTACCATGAGAGCAGCAGGCGTAATGATATGACGCAGCGCCTGAAAATAGTCCCCAGCTCGGTAACTTCCAACATGACCGGGACTAAGTGCCTGCGCCTGCTGCACTCATGGTACGGCAGTGAAGTTTCTTGATTATTACGCAGGAATGAGAGTATAGTTCCTAGCCATATCAGCCTAGAAAATCGCAACTTTACATTTTCCGTCGGTCTTAGTGCACGATGTAACTACAGAAGAGTCAAGTTTTAAATAGGAAAAATATCGAAACTCTTTGGTCATTTTTTTTTGAGAAATGCTAATGGTCTTGTCCACTTCAATGATGTATGCTAAGCTATGCTAAAAGTGGTACCGCCAGAACCGGAGATCGGCTGAATGGATTCAAAAACAGTAAAACTCAACAGTTTAACTCTGGGGGAGTTGTAAAATGAGCCTATTTCCAAAAAAAAGTGGAGTATCCCTTTAAAGCACAGAGTTAGTGACACCAAGAGCTTGTTTATATGCTGAATTAATAGCAACTATGATTTCCACTATGTCAAAGGTTTGGGGTCAAAAAGATTTTTTTTTTTTTTTTTTTTTTTAAGAATTGATACTTTTATACAGGAAGGATACATTAAATTGAAAAGTGACAGTAAAGACATTTATAATGTTACAAAAGATTTATATTTCATATAAATATTGTTCTTTTGAACTTTTTGTTCATCAAAGAATCCTTAAAAAATATATTTAGCAGCTTAACCATTTTGAACTACTACTCCTAATAATAATAAGCAGAAGAAATGGCTTCGCAATCAAAGAAAATAACAAAAAAAAATATATATAAAAAAATTAATTGATTATTATTAAGATATATTTTTTATATTATATATGATACTAACAATATACTATGTGTAATTTAATATATATTATATATATAATACATTATACATATTATTATTCGGCCTTGGTGAACATGAGAATCTTCAAAAAGAAAATATTACAGATCCCAAACTTTGAATAGTAGCGTATATATATATATATATATATATATATATATATATTAACACTATGTAGTATTAGGTTTGTGTGCTACCTTGCGCAGCATGGCCTCGGCTTTCTGTAGATTGAAATTCCTGGCTGGAAAACAAGAGAGACAAGTTGCAAAAAAAAGATGTAATTAGTTAGTGTAGAAAAGATAAAGTATGCACTAATTTGTCATTCAACAGGTTTTTGTCCAATATAACTAATTTATTACAGAAAGCTTAAAGGGATAGTTCACCCAAAAATTTAAATTCTGTCATAATTTACTCAATTTGTTCCAAACCGTTCTGAGTCTCTTTCTTCTGTTGAACACAAAAGAAGATATTTTGAAGAATATGGGTAACCAAAAAGTTGATGGTGGCCATTGACTTCCATTGTAGGAAAAAAAAATTATACTATGGAAGTTAACGGGTCCCATCAACTGTTTGGTTCCCGACATTCTTCAAAATAACTTGTTCAGCAGAAGAAAGAAATTCATAGAGGTCTGGAACAACTTGAGGGTGAGTAAATGTTGACAGATTTTTCATATTTGGGTGAACTATCACCTTAAAGTCCCCATGAATTCAAATTTGACCACACTTACTTTGTTTGCCTAAATTGATCGTTTTGTGGTGAACAGTTCATCCATGCAAGTCAATCCACACAAAAAAATTTTTTGGCTTCATAATCTTTAATCAAAATCTGAAATTTCCCCTCCCCTCTGCATTGGAGGACCTTCCCTGATGACTTAGGTTTGACGGTTTGGGCGTCTGCTTAACATCCGTAACCACGCCCCTCTAACTGACAGTAGACAGGCTGAATGACAACACCTATACTAGTTGAAAAAAAAGCCACGCCCACTATTTTGCCTCATTTAGTATTCCGTTTCTCTCGGAAATACGTCACAACACTGGAGAAAAGTCGTTTGCAACTTCCGGTTCACGGGGACTTTAAGTGTCTTGCAGGGTTTGAGCCTACAAACCTTCAGTTTCCAGCCCCAATATGTAACCACATGGCTAGTACACATGGCTAATAAATCCAATAATAAACTGGCACACTCACAGTATAAAGAGCATGTTGTGCTAACAGACCATACTCAACATCATGACTCCATAAGACAAGGTGCTATCATGTGTTTTATTAAGATAACTTGCACATAACTGGAAGCCATATGCCACCGAAAGTTACTATTTGGTAACAGATTAACTGTTCAGTTGAAAAGAAGCAAAGTTTGCAGACATCAGGAGCCTAGGTGACCGCAGTGCGCTGACCTTCAACATATTCCCATGTAGATAGGCCTATCCTCACAAAAGTATTCAACCCAACCCTGTATAGTGAGTGGATTAGTTTCATTGTCTTATAGTCACTCTAGTCTGTACCTGACTGGCCTAGAGACACTGACCCAGAATTAGTCAGACATGGAGTCATACATAAGTATTTAATACTCATAAAGAAGATTATGTGACACGGCTGACAGAAGCATTCAGTGTTTTGTGAGTTGCAATATGTCAGTTGCTTTCCTGAAGACTTTGCGTGCTGAACTAGAGTGACTTCTTATATTTATTTACAAACTAGATTTATTCATTTATTAATCAGCAGCAAAGTCAAAATCAAAGAAGTAGATTTCAAACTAATCACAATAACAATACAATTCATTAAATAAAATTATATAAGGCTACAATTAATTTAACAATATTTTTCTTACCACAAAATATATACCAATTATATAATTCAGTTTGATCAAACGATTAATTTGTTATTTCTTATACACAGTGTGTTATATTTGCCTTTGTTAGGATGATGTAGGTGGTCGATGATGTCGACGTTTTTTTAGAATGTTGATCATTTGGTTGCCAGGGTGTTCTGGGAGGTTGCTAGGTGTTTGCTTACTGGCACATCCCCAAGTAAAGTCTCTTGATATCTCTATGATATTCTGATCTCTAGATATGGCTTCAATGTATGTCTATGAGATTTTTTTTCGCTCATTTTATTGTCCACAAGGCAATAAGTCTAATCACCTGGAAAATAATAACAGATATCATGACCGTAGCGCGAGTGTAGGACGAGATACACGCCTAAAAACCTACCTTTGAATGGTAGTGTATGCATTTATTTAAAGTCATTAACTACCTGCACACTCAATGTTATACTGTAGTAAACTGCACTCATATCGCATCACTGCAGACCTCAATGACTTGTGTCACAAACGAGTGTTTATCTTATCGACACTTGCGACATGCCTTTATTAAGGAAATGTGCATGTGTCAACACTCTTACACAGCACAAAGATTATAATACAGGTATGTAGAACTATGAATAACCCCAAATCATTTAGAGGAAAAACATGCATTGTCATGATATGTGACACTCTTGAGCTTCCATTGGGCATTCTAGACTCAGATGAAGTCATTATTTACATGCTAATTAAACAATGACATCAGTAATCTCATGTCAAATCTGTGCTGCTAGTCTCTGTCTGGTGCCTAACAATCTCTGCAGAAGACTGGCTGCATTCAGCAGCGTTTATGCACACAAATCAGCCTTTGTCAAAACCCAAGAACAGCCTCTGGAAAGCTGCCAGAGAGGGGTTTAAACGCCACTCTGGAGGGTCAGATTAAAGTTTAGAAAACAATTACATTTATGCATTTAGCAGACGCTTTTATCCAAAGCAAATAACAAAAGAGAAAATCAGAAGAACTTAAATAAAAGGCCTCTATGTAGAATTCAGAAACTCTAATTATTAGCAATATTAACTCTTGTTATTTCCGGTGGCCGTTAAGTGAACTGCAGCCAGAAAATTATTACTCGTGTACATGTAACGTACAACTGAATGTGATTCATTCCGATATACTCACGGCACAGTTCTTTTTTGTTCTTTACTTAAAAGAAGTGCTGGGCAACGATTAATCACATCCAAAATAAAAGTTTGTGTTTACATAATATATGTGTGTGTACTGTGTATAATTATTTTGTATATATAAATACACACACGTGCATGAATATATATATATTAAGCCATATAATGTTAATTAACATCCAGTCGCCGTCCCGCTGCTAAGAGGGACGTTTAGATAAATATGCATTTGCTGTGTGCTTTTCTCTTAAAGGGGTGGTATAATGCCCTTTTCACAAGATTTAAATAAGTCTGATGTCCCCAGAGTGTGTATGTGAAGGTTTAGCTCAAAATATCCCACAGATATTTTTATATAGCATGTTAAAATTGTCACTTTTTGAGGGTGAGCAAAAACGCACCGTTTTTTTGTGTGTGTCCCTTTAAATGCAAATGAGCTGCTGCACCCAGCACAGGGGGCGGAGCTACAACAGTTTGTGTCCTTTTACCTCACACAGACATGCACTTAAAATTTCAATGTTTATGTTCAAACCGGAGTCAGACAATAATGGAGAGACTCAAGAAAAAGTGACAACATGTACAATGCAACAGGACATTTCTGAATGGTTAGTTGATGAATTTAGGTAGCTTATGCGTAGTTATCTTCTAGTCATTGATTAGCATATTCTGTCATGATAATCTATAAACCCGTGAGGAATGTCATGTAGTCCCTACCAGCCGTTTGTTGCAGTCCTTAAAAAACGATTTCTTTAAAAGCAAATATCTTCCTTTGCTTTGAACTTTGAGCTTCGTAACTTTGCAGATGTTGTTTATGCTCAAACAGCAACATTACACACTTACTAAAATTAAAAAAGTGAAATCAACCACCCCTTTAATAACAAATTAATTAACAAAAATGACAGCAGTGAGAAAGCAGCAGTTAGGAAACATCATCTGATAGTGATGTGTATATGTTTGCAACAGGTTTTGCAATTCACCGGCATCATGTCGACAGATGAGGTCATTAAAATGATACTGTTGTGATATTTTGATTATAAAGTAGGCCTATATTTAAGACCAAGACCATATAGATCTGGCTATGTGAGACTATAGTTTGAATTAAACCCTTTTCTTTGCAGGACACATTGACATTAGAGTACAGAATAGCTCTTTCGCCATTATCCTGAACATTGTATAAGCATTCATTTCATGTGTCATAGAACGGAAGAGAGGCTCTCGGGAGAGCGCGTGAACGTCACATCCTTTTAATTTTCCAAGGAAAAATGTCCTGAATTCTTCACATAAAACAGACAACCGAGGAAGTCTAAGAAGGTCTCGTTTTTTTACGTTTCCTTACAAGCTGTTCACACCTTTTTTTTTATGTAATATGTTTATATTGGTAAATAAAATAGCCATAAAGATTTTAAATAATTGAATGAACAAATAAATATAGAACATTTCTTACCAGAATAATACACAAAGGCCTAATCTATCATCTAGCCTATCGTGTGAGTTCCAGCACTATCTGAATTTGTCCTCGTGTATCATGTCCTCACGATACCCGCAGTCTTGAGCCGATTACACTGATTCATACGATCTGAACATGAGTCACTACAGAACATATCATGCATGTCTTTCCAGAATCCTTCACAAAACCTATGATTCTATTCTTAAAATAGAGATCATAGTCTAAAATAGATTATATTCTCTAGACTGCATCATTACATAAGATTCCATCTAAATAAATCCATACTTCATGGTCATTCTATAATATTGTATTAAACCGATGGTATGCTAAATTTGTATTTTATAGGTACGATCATTCTATATCATTCACAATTGTGTCCCATTGGTGGTATCAGTTTAGAAGAACAGTTGTCATTATAGTTTAATAGTGTCAAAAAATAGTTTAAGATTGTCATTCTACATGGTTTTATTCTATAGATAGCATCATTCTAAAATATTTTATTCTATTCCACTCTATACGATTAGATTCCATAGAGCATGCTCACTCTTAGCATGCTCACTCTATCTATGCAACTAAGGACTTGCAACTGTTCTCCAAGTAAGTAAAATGCATTTATATATATTAAAATAGGATAGAGGGATTTATCTCTCTCTAACTCAACATTTAAGTAGTTAAACAGGACATTAGTGTTTAACCTACTTCATTTTGCATCACGAATGTGACAGTGAAAGTAGCTCACCTCTCAGCCATCGCAGCAGAAATTGGTCACTCTGGGATGGACACTGGGGCAGAATATCCTGAACCTTTTCTCGAAACTGAGGAGTACAGATGAAGAATTATGCAATGTCAACAGTATAAAGTTGCACATACACGCACATTGCTGGAAACTATCCCTAACATCAACTCACGTGCTGACAACAGTGCAAACTTGCGCAGTCACGTCACTTACACAACTCAGCAAGAGAGGGAAAAACTAATACAGCTTAAACACTTTGTCCTCTTACAAAAGTCTATTAATTCTGCATTCAAAACGGATGTATTTTCATCTGCGATGTGTGGCCTCTCTCTGCTCGGGAGAATGTTTCATCCCGGCATCTACAGGATCACTCCACTAATAAATCCCCGAGATACTGCTGATAGAAAAAAAAAGGGAAATAACTCACCTGGGCCAAAGCTTCGGCTTGTTTCACGCTCAGGTCTCCAACTCTTCCGCTCATGTCGCCACGAGTACACCAGAAATAACTGTCTAAAATGCAGCTAGAGTCAGAGTCAGAGACTGTGAGGCTCAGGCACTGAGTGATGTTTTTGTCCCCGCCCACCTGTTACGCGGCCTCTGCACCGCTAGGGGGCGCTGCGGTGATTCAAATCATGCATAGTCATATCACACATATTCATAATAAAAATAATTATTATTATTGTAAGTTAATATTATTATTATTATTATATGTGATAATTTGTTACATATATAGTAGTGGAAAAAAAACAAAATAGTTTTTACACATAAAATATATGTATTTTTATTTTGCATTGCATATATTTGATTAAAAAAAGGTACAAAAGTTGCATTTCACAAAACATAATAAATTATTAATAAAATGTATAAACCACAAAATAAATATAATTACATCTTCACAGCTATTTACAAATAAATATCACATTTTATTTGATACATTATTTTCCTTTTCTATCTCTTGCTCTCTCTCTCTCTCTCTCTCATAATCGAGCACTGTTCCATGCCTGTCGGATTTGTCTCCATGGCGTTCCTAAAACAGACGCAGCGATGAAGAAGAACACTAGAATAAGACCCTTAGCCAGAGCCTGGGAATATGGCTCACCTGCAAAAAAAAAAAAAAAAAAAAACATTATTTACCCTCATACTTTAAGTCCTGGTTTCACAGACAGGGCTTAGACTAAGCCAGGATTAGGCCTTAGTTAGTACAATTAGGGCATTTAAGTAGCTTTTATAAGCGTGCCTTAGATGGTGTGCATTTTCAGACAAAACAATGGCAGCAAGTTGCTTTCAGTTAAAACAGCTCCATGTTGCATTTTAAACTATCTTAAGCCGTGTCTGTAAAACCAGGGGTATGACTTAAAGGAGAACTCTGGGCAATTTTTAAGTTAATATTGATCGTTATACCTTTGTGAGTACTGTCTATAGAAACCGGATTGGTGCTTGCAACACAGAGCTTCTAAAGCTAAGGCATATACATAAAGAGTGTCTTTGTGGCTCTTAACAGACACAAAATGCAATTAAATGTCTGTCCAACATGAACAGGGCCCTTACATGACAACAAGATGCGTGTAGCAACTTTAAATTCACCTAAATAGTGTTTTAGACGACTAGCTGTAGTCTCGCGCTGAAGTCCCGTGAGAACTCAGTTGTAGCCGGAAAAAGGTAAATAGCAGTGTGCAGACGGGAGGAGCGTTATAATGACTAAAAGGCACATAGATTATGTCTTCTAAATATAACAATAAAATACGTGAGGAAACTACTATGCAAATATACACATGAACATCTTTACGAGCTAGTTCGTATTGTCACTCGCATACATTCACTTTTACACATGCGGGGCTATTCAAACGTTCATAAACTAAGTAGAGAACAATGTATAAACAGAAAATCATGAGTTTTCATGGTTATTTCTGTCTTAATCTATAAGAAATTCAAGCCCTCACCAGTGTAGTATCTTGTGAGAGGGAACGCCAGCTCAGGCCAGCACACATCATTCCGGTCACAGTCAAACTCTGTAAAGTTAATACTGAACCTGTAGGAGAGAAGATACTTTAATTCAACTTTACTGAGTTCACAAGACTGCACGACTAGCTTGGATTTGAGAAAAAATGCCATATGCAAGCAACAGATTCAAACAAATAGAAATAAGAAAAACTATTTCTGAAATGTATAACATGACATTAAGATTCTGGAATTTATTTTATTTATATTTCAAAATAAATGTTTTATTGTTATTGCACCTTTTATCAGAAAAAAACCCATTAAACTGTAAACAAAAAAACAACAAAAAAATTTAAATTCCACTGCATCTATAATCATCAAACTCAAAACGTATGCGTTTAGGACCGACCTGGATCTAGGGGGTTGTGTATTAAGAGGATTGTCAGTAAAGGTCACAGAAGAGGTCACGGGGAAATTCTGCATTAGCTCTGGGTTTACACAGGGGTTCATCCTGCCAATATCACACTCTATCCTCCATGTTGTTTCTATAAAACTGAGAATTGGAAAAAGAATGAATGGCAAACAAAATGTTCAAAACAGCATATGCATCTCTAGATACTTCAAGCTCAAACATTAATGAAAAGCTATCGTTTTTAGTGAGATGATAAGAACCTGTACCTAATCTCCACTGCCTGGATAACTGTCTGGGGCACACCCTGCACCCGGCCCATGATGACGCTCCTCACGTGGATGTGGAGGTGGGTCGGGACGGCAGAACACTCTCCACTGCTGCCCTCTGCTGGACGACTGGAGTTCTGCAGTGATGCTGAGAGGCACAAGAGCAAGAACATCGTTTACTCATTCATTCAAAGCAGTGGTTTTCAAGCAGGAGCCGTTATTTAAATTTAGCTATATTAACAATCTTTAAGGGATGGATTAACACACTGGCCTACGGGGCACTGAAGGGCCTTTAGACCATGTCTTTGAATATTGTCTTGGAAAATGGGCAGTCTTGCAGTCAAAAAGGTTGAGAATCACTGACTTATCACTGAGTAGTTAACTTTTTCAAGTGGTGATTTCTTTAACATTTTTGAAAGAAGCTTATCCAGGCTGAATTTGTTTGATCGAAAATACATTAAAAACAGTAATATTGTAAAATAGTATTACAATTTAAAATAACTGTTACTTTTAAAGCATCATTTATTCCTGTGATGGCAAAGTTGAGTTTTCAGCAGCAAATACACCATTCATTACTGTCACATGATCTTGGAGGGTGTGTCTCAATCAGCTCCCGTCACCACTGGTATATATGAACAGCAGAGCAGAAATCTTTCTGACATTATTTGTTTATTTTATTTAAAGCTACATTTCCCTGCAACATTTCAGCCATAAATCATAATAATGTTAGCTAAATTATGTTCAAGAGATGTATGTTCATACTAAAATATATCATTAAATAACACATCTAAAATTCAAAGATCTTAAATATTTTTAAAACATGCAATTTATGTTTTGCACTTCAGAATTTCCTTTTAGGGAAAATAGTAAGCATCAATGCTCCCTGAGTTTTACAGTGCATTGTGGGACTTGTTATGGAGCGAACGTTTCAGTGCACTGAAAGGATTTTAGCATTGAGACAGTCATTAAAACTGCCTGATCAGTGTCCTGAATATTGAACTAAGGAGCTCGAGACGCACCCTCAGAAATCATTCTAATATGCTGATTTGCTGTTCAAGAAACATTTCTTATTATGATCCATGTTGAAAGTATTAATTTCTTAAAAAATAAAAAAAATAAAAATCTTTTGAACTGTAGTTTATATAGACTTGGCGTATGTGTACATATAAAGACAGCTTGATCAGAATTTAAAGCAGTAACTTTGCAGTTTATAAGATTAGATATAAATAGACTCAGGGACAGCTTGACATATTATATATATTAGAGATAATTATATGATGTAGTGCTCACTAGTAATGTTGACCCAATCCACTAGGTTGGAAAAGTTTGGGTTTCCTGTTGTGGAAACGAGTGTAGCAGTCACTAATTCAGCTAGGACAGCACGCACCGTTTCTCTGTGAAATGACATGCAAAAGACTTAAGTCAAGTGAAACTGTTCAATAGGAATCTATTGTATTGTGTTCAAAAGCCTTCGGCAATGATACTCACCTCAACTGACTGCACTGTCTCACATTCAGCAAACTCACAGGAATCACACAGCCTGATGTGGAGTTGATCCCGAACAGAGCTGGTCTCAGTTCAGCAGAAGAGCATAGTCCATCTCCACCTGCAGAGGACACAGCACAGGATCAAAGTAATATTTTTTTGTAGTCCTGTATGGATAAATATTGGATATGCTACACTACCTGGCTGCCAGAGATTGATCTGGGCCCTCTGTATAACTTCTGTAGCAGAGTCCAAAATGCCACCAATCACTGGCCTCTTCACCAGGTAACCTGTGCAAACATTAGTAATGCATGAGAAGTAATTTCTACTTGATAATTTAAACAATGTTCCTGAGCATCTGAGGCTGAGGTATTATGGGAGTTGCTTTAACCTGAATTCCCAGAGTTTGGCTCAGATGTTTCATTTCCGTTCACAAACACTGCAGAATATCTTCTGGTCAATACTAAATGGGAGGTAAAAAAAAAAAATTTAATTATAATATATATATGATAGAGAGAAAGAGATGCATTCCGTAAGAAAAGCATGTGCAGTGAAGAGGTGTGTCGTATTGTAAGAGTGAACAGGAAGACACTAGTTGTGACTTACCAGGTAGAGTGATGTTTGCAGTGGTACGTTTCACAGTAATGGCAGTGAGGCCATTCTCTCTCCAGTAAAGAGTGTAACTCAAGGCCACAACGACATTATCACACTTTTGTGGCACTAAAAAAAATATATATATATATTATACAATGAAAAAGATCCAACTTTATATATAATGTCCATCTTGTCTTCAATGTTACTAAAAGAGAAACTTTAGTAATATTTTCTGTATTATTATTTGATGGGAACAATACCTAATGTTTGGGGTTGGTACGTTTATTTTTTTAATGAAAGAAGTCTCTTAAGCTGACCAAAAGACTGTATTCATTTTATCAGAAATACAGTAAAACAGTAATATTGTTACAGTAAAAATTCACTGTTTTCTATCTTATTATATTTTAAAATGTAATATATTCCTGTGGTGCAAATCAGAATTTTCAGCATCATTACTCCAGTCTTCAGTGTCACATGATCCAACAGAAATCATTATAATATGCTGATTTGCTGCTCAAAAAACATTTCTTATTATTATTATCATATCAATGTAGAAAACAGTTGTAACAGTTGCTTCTTTTTTGTGGAAACTGTGATACTTTTTTTCAGGATTCTTTGATGAATAGAAAGAACAAAATGTATTTTAAATAGAAATGTTTTTATAACATTATAAATGTCTTTACTGTCACTTTAATTGCATCAATTTATCGCATCCTTACTGATTAGAAGTACTCATTTCTTTTCTTTTTTTTACTTTTGAATGCTATAGTGTATATTATTGATATTTGATACAAAATTTATAATCAAACTCACAAATTACTGGTTCTTAATATTTTATATTAGTCAATATATAGTTAATATTTAAAAATAGATTAACTTAT